AGACGAAGTTCTGGTTTTGATTCCTGGTCCTGGGTCTTTCTGCATGCTTGGGTTTTCTCCGGGTACTCCGGTTTCCTCCCACAGTCCAAAAACATGACTGTCAGGTTAATTGGTCTCTCCAGATTGTCCCTAGGTGTGAGTGTGTGTGCGCATAGTTGTTTTTCCTGTCTGTCTCTGTGTTGCCCTGATCGCCACCCTGGACAGACTGGCGACCTGTCCAGGGTGACCCCCACCTCTAGCTGGAGATAGGCAGCAGCAGCATTTTAGTGCTTAACTCTTTAAGTTGGTAGTTGGGTTTTTTTAATAGCTACCCCCTGGTGTAAGAAAATCAATGGATGTAAAAGCAATAGTCACAGGACTAAGGAAAACAAAACTTACACTTTTCTTCTTACTGTCAGTGTCACATAGGCCACCCTGACTTGAAGAGATGGCATTAGCAGCAGGTGATTCATATGACTCCTGATCTGGCTGGTCTATGGGAGAGGCAGCTGGAGAGGGGCTTCGGGCCCTTTTCGTCTGGAAAGCTGGCGAGGACGGAACAGTAGGAGGAGGAGGAGGAACAGGAACCAGATCAAGCACAATCACAGTCTCTTCTTGGCTTTGTGGTGAGATCTTTGGCTGCTCCTCAGCTGTGGTCTCCTTCGGTTCATTAATGAAGTCCTCAGCGTTTTTACCAGTCAGCTGCTCTTTGTGTGTAAAAGCATCTTCTGTAGAGGTTTGGGGCTGCACTGGTACAGGTGTGCCTAGGAAAGACATAATTTTAAAGAAAAAATACATAAGTATCTATAGACGCATATCTTGCTCGCTCTCTGTGGACTTGATATAAGGAACTACAGAAGTACACACACTCTCACACACACATACATGCATTACCGACAGAGAGGAGAAACTCATAAGCCCTCTGCATCTTATCCAAAAAATTCTTCGTAGTATCCGTGGTCTCCAAATGTGTAATTATGTCCGCAACCCACTTGCTTGAAGATGATTCTTCCTTCGCGAAAAATAAAATGGGCTTGAAGCCTAAAGCATGGAGTTTGCGGACCTGCAATTGATAAGAACATGTAACAAATTACTTAAACACACCATCCTATTAGAGCAGTTGTTTTTCATCTTTAGCAACATATTGATAAAATATTTTATATTTTCAAAGTCTTGTGTGCTTTGTGGTGTTAACATCTCAACATCTTCATATGGAAAAGTCAGAGAAGAATTTTTAAGTTAACAAGAGGAGTACAGGTTACATTTTGCTCATTAACAGAACTTTTTCAGTCTAAAAATTTATACTTACTGCGATTTGTGCAGAATCTATTACTCTGGAAACGTTTCTGTTCTTTAAAACAGCTTCCCTCCACTGATCGTCAAAAATCTGCACCTTTTCTTTTAGATTTTTTTTGGTGGGAAGGCTCTGGTGGCAGACAAAACAAGTTTTTCTGTTTGCCTGGTTAGGCGTTTGACACTTTGGGCATGGCCTGAATTTGGGGTGTGTCATACTTAAAAAAAAACAATGGCAACGTGCAAAAAAAACAACAACAACAACAAAGACTTCAGATGGAGAAACAAACAGACTGACAGAAAGACAGACAGACAGACAAACAGTACTGTTGACAAATTAAGTTAAGAATAGACAAATTAAGGACACAAAGATGACGAACAGATAAGAGAGATGTGGCTCTTAAAAGTGCCTTTTGTGGGTGCTATATAAAAGAGCAGAAATATACGTGAGGTGATGAGATCAAAGAAGAACCTGTTGACATAAAAAAAAAGAAATGTTCAGATTTCGGAAGGTCTTGATTTCTCTTCATAAGTTGCAACAGCAATAAACAAAATAGACAGGTGGAGAGATCTTTGCCTGTAATGATCCAAGTTTTTTATTTGAAGTAAATGGCCTAGCTGCAAACAGACAGGGGCTCATAGACAAAACTTTAAGGATCATCACAGCCTAGGGTCACTGGTGTTTATATCGATCCTCAAATTTTACAACAAGCATGACTATAAAGAATTCTGTGACTCTATCATGGCTAATTAAATGTATTAAGTGCAGGTTCAGTTGAAGCTTATGGACTACAAGAGGCTAATGTAGCTAGCTTCCCGCCCATTTCTTCCGTTAAATTTCTTTTATAAATGTTACAAACCTGTCTAAATGCCTTCAACCATTCGCGGCACAGTCCGACTGCCATTAAGTCCTAAAACTGCAATCAGCAACTTTATAACGTAACACTCTAGTTATTTCTTGTTTTGTTTTATAGTACAAAAACATTTTGGACAGATTCAGGTTTGTACTCACCGGGGTGCAAGTGTTGCATGCGATGACATCAGCGTCTTCTTCTTCTTCTTGGGTTTTTGCGGGATCCGTACTTATTTTTATTATTTCAATCAAACATATTAAAACGTTTACAGAACTGTTTGCATGCAGTCACAAAAGAAAATAAATCTTAATTTTTCTTAAATTTATTTGGTGTAAATCATTGATATACTCAAAAAAGTTGGTAAATTTAAAATAAAGGATTTTATATCAAGCTAAAAAAAAAGGCTTTTAAATCAACCTAACAACAACCACAACAAAAACCCTCCGGTTTTATATTTTACTGAGTTATTTTTAAATACCAAATTAAAATTTTATGACCGATACATGTATTTGTAGTAAATATTCTTAATATCCTGTTCAAACTAGCATATACATTGTAAATAAAGGTTTTTTAAAAAAATAGAATAGACACGTCATCTTATTCGTTCCTAAGTCGTCAGTATCGGACGCTTAGGGAACCGTACAGCATTCAATGAGAGAACCCTTCGCGTCACATATTGACGCGAAGGGAATACCTGCCCAAGCGTCAATATGTGACGAGTTGGGAGTGAGAATCTGTTGGATATTGATGTCTGGCCAGTCAAATAAAAATGTCTGAGTGCCACTAAAGGCAGCTCAATAACCTCCAGTGGTTCTTTTACCAGAGAACGAGAAGCAAAAGCTAACGATGGCCATAAATCCAAAGTACAGCAGCTTCTCAGTGGAAACAGTTCAGGCTACATATAGAAGATATTGCTGCACCAGATGTTCTTCAGCCTGAAATGCTGTAGGAAGAGGAATTTTGCTCCCAGCTGCTTCCTTTGAAGCCTGATCCAGTTGTGCCACTTTACGTGAGCTGGCATCATCACCAGTCACTGTTTCATCACCTTCTTGATGCAAATTATGGTTGTGTGATGACATTTGCCTCGACAAGCTTTTTTGGAAATGTGTGAGACACGGATGCAATTTGGCCTTATTTCAAATTGATGCCAGCATTATACTGCCAGCATGTGTGTGTGTGTGTGTAAACAAAACTAAGTTTTATGCTAAAAGGAAAATGTGGAAAAGAAGATCGTCCAATTAGAAGTGAAGCGTTCTTTTTACTTTGCACACTTTGTTCAGCTAACGTGTTTTGACCCTTTCATGTCTGCAGATGAGAGATGAGGAAAACCCAACACAGCATGTCGGCCCATCACCAAGACCACAGAGAAACAAGAGGCAAAAAGAGGTGGCTTCATTTAGATCTGGAAAGTACATGTGGAGCAAATTCTCAACAGGAGAAACACAAAGATGTTGAATGTCAGGCTTGCGTAGTCTATTTTATCGACCCAACCAACTTTCAGGTAGTCTTATCCATCAGTAGATGTCTTCTCACCTTATAGTTATAATTTCTACATAGGGTTCTGTCTTAATTTGTTGGTGAGTTCTTGTTTTTGTCAGAGCCACCTGGAGTTTAACCGAGTCAGGACTGGTTGCCTCCCCTCACCTCCTAGGAGCCGCCTCACCCTGACCATGAGCTGATCTTCATGCACAGACGCTGGTTAGACGAAGGCTCAGCTCAGGCTGTACTTCTTGATTCACCACAGGCTGTACTCTCTTCAAATCCTTCCAAATAAGCTGCTGGTCTTCTTCTACACTGCTGTTGCCCGGTCTGTCTCAAACACATCCATCACTGTGGGGTTTGGTTTAGGCTTGGGATCTGAAAAAGGGTTAGCAGACATGTCTGCAGACCCCACACATCCTGGACACAAACTGTGTGAACCTTCAGGCCTGCGCTTCAGAGCGCTATTTGCAACAACCAGCTGCCACAGAGACAGTTTCTCCCCTCAGGCTGCCTCTGATGAGCATCCTGCAGCCTGAACAGTCAGCTGCTCTGCTGTAAAACAAAATAAGCATTTTGGAACTGAACAAACCTTCTGTTTTTCTTTCTTTATGTACAAAAATGCCATCAAACACACAAACACTTTGTCCCTTTATTCGTATTTCCTCTCAGGTTTACATATTTATACTTCATGTTCGTGTGCTGAGTGTTTGGAAACCAAAAACAAATTCCTTTTTTGTGCACACAATCTTGGTCAATAAAGCCGATTTTGATTGTGGTTTCATTTGGCTTATATTTCAGTCCATTGTTTGTTAAAATATTGTACTTGCAACCATTCAGACTTTTTTTTTTGTGAACTGAAAGAGCTCAATGTTTCCTGGAGTTCTGAAACTGTTTCACTACTTTCAGCAGAAACATCTTGAAGGAATTTTATTTTAGCACCAAACATGGAGCTCCAAAACAACTGGAAACTTGACCTATAGGAGATATAGCTCTATTGCAAAAAGACATTTTATCTGCTGTAATTATCTAGGACTGATGTCTTCTTCCGTTCTTAATTTTATATCTTGCTCATTTTCCCACAATAATACTGATGCAAACCGTAAATGGAAGGAAGCTTCAATATTTGGATGCCAAAAAAATAAATAAATCTAAATGTTGGATGAATCCAAGATGTTACACATCATTTTAAAAACTGGAATCAAGCCAACATGAAGGGATTATTTCTGATTCACAAATAATCATATAAATAGCTTCTAAAATTGAGACTGCCGGTGTTTAGTTTTTTTTTGTTTGTTTTTTCTATTTTTTTCACTCTTTATCACAATGAAAAATCAGCATATAAATAAATATTCCATATTACTGATTCTGGCTGGAAAACAAGAAGGAATCATAAACAAGCAGTAAAGGGATGCACCTTCATCGTCTAAGGGGAGAAGAAGCGAGACGCGGAGAGGGAGTGGGCTGAGTCTGCGGCATAAAAACGACAAAAAAAAAATCCTTCACAGTCCAATTATCAGCAAGAATCTCCCCTCAGCTCTTCATGCACCGCCTTGCCAAATTTTAATGTCAAGAGGGTGGATCTACCCTCCTCTTTCTGCCATAAGGTTATATAACAACTGGAGCATCACTCACACACATGCAGCTGGAAGCAGAGGACTGATTGCTGCAACCATAAATAATTACAAGCTATAAAAGACGACATTTTTCTGCCTGGTGGGTGCCCTGTGCTCCGTTCTGGGGTTTTAACAGACATATCAACGTCAGCCTTTTGGAAGAAACACCGCGCATCTACGACTAAAAATCACAGATGTGTTTTTATTAGCCACCGGAGGGGGCTTCTGATTGAGACAAATTGCAGGTCACGCAGGCAAAGTGTGGAGACTCAGGCCTTCGCACCCAACAGAGTGCAAGGAATAGCGATGAGATTCACCTCTGAGATAAAATGGCTTCCTTTGTCACACATGCCCTTGCATAACTTCAGCCCCATACCTGATATCTCATGCAGCGTGTGTGAGCTCAGAGGTGTCACTGCACCAATAACAGCTGTGCTGGGAGAGGCAGGCGGTGGCGGTGTTTTCACAGGGATTCAGTCTGTCAGGAGGGCTGAGTGATGACCTCCATCTCTCACACTTTATATCCTGTTCACACACACATACACACACACAGCGCTTCAATTCTGAAAACAAAAAGACGGGCTTCTGCGTGAGGTTCAGGGAATAAATCTGGGGCTTAATGAGGCTGGCCGGCAGTGAAGGAGGCAGTAAGGGGATCAGTTTTGAAGGTGGGGTTTGGACATAAAGATGACTGTGTGTGTGTGTGTATGTTACAGCGCCTTGGAGAAATATCTGCAACCCGTAATTTTTTTTTAGGTTTTGTCTCATTTAAACCACAGACGCCACTGGTTCTACAGGGAATGTGTGTGTTTAGCAAGTAAACGGAAGGAACAGGCTACATTGCTTTCAAAGTTTTTACGAATGAAATCCAGAAAGTGTTGCAGCATTTGTGCTGAGCTTTGCTTACGCTGATACTCATAGATGAAGTCACACATTTTGGTAAGAACTTTGAGTGTTGCTTAATCTCGTTAGAAATCCAGATGTTCAGCGAAGTTCCCAGAGGATTGACAGAGAACATTAATGAACAAATAGCAACATGTAAAAAACACAAATAGGAACACAGCAGGCATGTCAGGGAGAAAGTCTTGGAGAAGTTTGAGTTAAGTTAGACAGCAGAGCTGTGAACGTCTCGCGGGCGATATTCGTTCAGCAGCATCACAGATTCGAAGAATCTGGAACGACAGACAGGATGAGGAGACGATTCCTCTGCAAAGCAACCAAGAAACCTATGCAACTCTGAGGAAGCGTGGCAGAATGTGTTGACAAGAAAGTTATTAGTTATGCAGAATTATCTTTAAGGAAGAAAGTCATCAGTAGTCTGCTTTACGGTTTATGGACTCCCTAAAGATGTAGAGGAAGTTGTTCTGGTCAGCTGGCACCAAAACAAAACTACACTTTTAGACCTCCATAAAAAAAAACACTATGCAGTATAAAACTAACACTGCACATACCCTCCTCCCCAAGGTGACACATGGTGGTGGTCACATTATGCTGTGGGGAAGCTGGTCTGAGGCAATAGGACGATCGATGGAGCCAAAATAAAAGGCTTCTTGGGAAGACTGTAAATACTTTTGCAAGTTACTGTATACATATAAACTTTGGAGCTGGAGTTCTTCAAAGAGCTTCGCACCACGGAGGATTTAACACACAGTGGGGCTCCCAGTAAGCATCAAAAGGAATGCAGAGCTATGAAAACATCGCAGGAATATTTTCACATAAATAGATCTTTTGTCCTTAGTGGGTAATTTAGAGTGAAAGTATTTTATTTTTTTATAAATGCATTTCTATGAAGACGACCTGTTTGCTGTCTGGTTGAAGGATGGGAGGAGTCTGCTTTGAAAACAATCCTCTGCAAAAAAAAATAAAATACTTGTAACGATCTGACTTAGCTCGGTTATATGTCATACTGCCCCCTCTTGGATGATTTTGGATCATTAAAGGCAATTTCATCAGAGGAAAAAAACCTTCTGAGGCGCCCTCTCTGTTTTCATTTCTTGCTTTGTTGCAACAAAGCCGAGTGTCTCATTACTCTCCCATATTGTTGCTGGTGAGAGCAGGCCGCCTCCCTCTCCTGTTTTTATTTGCCTGAAATAACAACACGCATCTTGCTCAGGTTTGGACCGCTGCTTGCTTTCCGTTGGCCAAACTCTAGAGCTCCAAACAAAGACCGGGCGGGAAAATTGGCCTGAGGGCCGGGCTGGGCGAGGATCCATGAGGCAGCCGCGGTCTAATGAGGAGGTGACAACATCACCACAGGGTCAGGCGTCAGATGCACGGGCCGGTGGCTTCGCGAACAGAAAGAAAAGAAAAAAAAAAAAAAAAAACATGTTTCTGAGAGAGAATTGGAAAAAAAATGCGGATGCTCACGTCTCTGAACAAAAACGCCGACCCAGGAGTGAGAAAGCCTCGTTATCGTCACACAGCGTTCCTGCAGGGAGACAAACCCACAACGCAGTCGGGCTGGGAATTCTGCTGCAACACGAGGAGCGCTCAGGGGGATCATTACAGAATGCATGAACAGAGAGAGATTAAGAATGACAAAAAAAATTAAGAGAGGTTGAAAAATACTCTCAGAGACAGCTTGCCCTGCTGTATCACGGCTCCTGCATGCTGATTCGAGGGGTTTATTAAACTGAATACCAAGTGGAGCACTAACTAGATCTTATTATTCTCCTCATCAATGGACCCTTTCCTGAGGGCCACTCTCCAAAGAAATTACAGCCAGAGTTTAAAGACTGCTGATGTTCAGATGAAATAATCTTCACGCGGGCACTGGTGTGAATTTAACCCATAAAAAGATTATTTCTTCACAGGCACGCAAGGGAAGATGAGACACATAACACCACGCAGCTGGAGAAGAACAAGAATGGTGATAAAGCATCAGATTCCTAGGAAACATTAGACCCGGGTCCTTGTCTCAACAGCCCACTGTAATCACATGAAGGAATAAGCATGTCGCTTATTTGATAAAAGTCGGCCATAAATGTAATAAAGCTGACAAGGTTATTAGAAGTGCCACAGGCCATTTGATAGTGGCTTCACACGCACCTTATATTGGATTATGGAGAGAAATATGACGAAGCAAGGAAGTGGAGCTTGCCCATTTACAAAGGACCATGGGAGGCTTAACAGCTTGTGACTAAGTTCATTCATTCACTTTAATTCCTGCTGCAGTGACAATCTGCAGCGTGTCTCTGCAGATTGTCACTGCGAAAATTGCTCAGGGATCCGTTAAAGAGCGCCACGGTTCGGCCACGTGTCGCAGAGGTCATGGCGAGACACTCACAGGTCAAAGGTGCAGCACACACAGCCCCCGCTCAACGGTAAAAGTGTGGAAACAGCCTTTAGAGGGATTAATTTCGTCATCGCCGAAGCATAGTCTGTCATTTAGCCTTTTTTTTATGCATTTGATCAGTGGGGAAGTTATTTCTTTTAATATTATTTAATTTGTAATAAGTAGAAGTTTTTTTTGTTTTTTTTTCATTTTAACTTATTTTTATGAGTTTCCTTGTGGTGTTATATGACATTAAGTCAAGATGGATCCCCCACTCACCTTGCAGATACTTAAACCAGATGATAGCATAGGAAAAAGTAGGTTTGAAATGATTTCATTGTTTAAGCAATATAAGTTTTTAACCTGGTTTTAACTAACCATTGAACCGGGTTTGGCTGAGCCCAAACCCAGACAGACGGAGGGTTTTCACAGTAAAACATCAGTCCTGTCTGCATCTTCTGATTGGACCGTCTCCAGCTTCGTGTATACAGTTTATCTTATCTCCAGTGTTGCTGCCAGATATTTGCAGAAGAAAAAGATTATTTTGTCAGAGCAAACAAAGCTTCCTCCCGTTCTTCGGAGCGCAAAATGAGCTTAAATCCTTTGGAGTGACACACAGCAAAAGGACCACAAAGTCAATGCAAACAATGAGTCAGACTCCCAAACGGAGGAGGAACGCTGCATTTATTCAGTGATGTGTCTGCAATTAAAGATTTGCCGCGCGTAATATAATGAGAAAATGAACCTTGTCCCACAGTCTGCAGCTGTCTATTTAAATTAGGCTTCAAAAAGAAAGGGCTGTTGTCAAACTGGGGGTTACAATTGAAAACATCTGACTCAACAAACCACAGTATAGAGTGTTTTGTTTTCACTTTGGAGGAAAAAGATGTAGTTGTTGCCATGGTCTGCACAGGAGAAAAATGATCATCAATGTTTGGATAAGTTGTGTTTCTTGATTTGATTCATTAAATATATATTAATCTGGTCTGTTATGCACAAATTGTCTCCTCTTTATCTTTTTTTTTGCTGTTGTTTTTTAAGCAGAGCTGGTATTTCCCTCTTTAGCATCCTCCACCTGCAGCTTCTGATCTGCTGATTCTGTTATCCCTTACAAGGTGCAGAGGAACGTCCTCTTAACCAGCACCAACCAGAGGAAGAGAAGCACAGATAGTGCTTCTCCTGTCAGCCTCCAGCCAAAGTCAGTATCTCAAAGTAGATGTGGCACCAGTAGTAATAAAGAAAACTGCTGGAACAGGGAAGTGTTGCATAGGGTGACTTACGAGGTCCCAGAGGAGAAACAATAATGGAAAAATAATCCTGAGGACAGGCCGTAAAGGCAAAGGACATAATCAACCCGAACCTGGTGGTGGTAAAATAATTTCTGCTTTGGCTCTGGGAGGAACAAACCTCCTGCATTATGGCAAAACGAACATTTTATGCATCATTTCTGTTGCTTAAAACTTCGTGATTCAGTTTAACTCTCCACATCATCAGCAAAAACAAAAGCCTGTATACAATATGTACACGTCGTTTCCAGATTCAGGGGAAATCCCTTTGAAAACATATGACCAATCAGGACAAACATTTATTGAAAGATGGAAGCTGTCATGGCAACAATAACTTGGAATAATTTTTTTTAAAGTCATTTACATAAGAAATGAAGATTTACATGCATGGAGGTTTAGTTTTTTGTTTTCTACACAAACACCTACATTTCTAATCTTCAGTCCAACTCACCTTGTGATTAATTCATTCATTATTGATTTTACGGACGGCTGGATGGATTCAGCAAAATAACACGTTAGGGCAAATTTTATTACGCTGACTTATCACTTACTTATAAAATATTTTGCTTGTTGATATTTACAGATGCCCGATTCATTTTCTTTTCCATATTTTTCTGTATCTCTTCTCACAAGCGTTTCACCTGGTGGACACAGAAAAATGAATACTCCTTTCTGTTCCCTTGTTTTTACGAAACAAAACAAAAACAAGTACTTTTTTTTCGATAAGGATCCCAAAAAATGTAGTCTGCTATTTTTTTTTTTTTTCATTTCTGAAACAGGTAACTTACAGATATTACAGGTGTAACATGAACGCCTCTAGGGGAACAGGTGAGTGTGTAGCCCGTCCCCGTGTTGCCAGGGTTGGGTGAGTGTGTGACGTCGGCGCTGCCTCGCCGTGCGCGGGGTGGAGGAGCTGTCCAGGGTGCTGAAACGGTCAGACTGGTAATCAGGAGAAACCGGAGCAGAAGCCTTGGTTCTATGTAAAGGAAACATGAAGAGAGTCCTATAAGGATACTCTTTTACACCTGCTGAAGACAATTTTTGAATAACTTGGTATTTGCTAAAGTTCCTTAAAGTCTGAAGTGAACCTTTACTTTTTTCCTCCTCCATCATGGATCTGCTTCCAGCCCAGGAGGCTGCGAAAATCTACCACACCAACTATGTGAGGAACTCCCGGGCCATCGGCGTGATGTGGGCCGTGTTCACCATCTGCTTCTCCATCATCACCATGGTGGTCTTCATCCAGCCCTACTGGATCGGGGACAGCGTCAACACGCCACAGGCCGGGTACTTTGGCCTTTTCCACTACTGCATCGGCAACGCGCTCACCTCGGAGCTCACCTGCAAGGGCAGCGTCTTTGACTTCAACTCCATCCCGTCGCCGGCCTTCAGGACGGCCATGTTCTTCGTGGGGACCTCCATGCTGCTGGTGGTGGGCACCATGGTGGCCTTCAGCCTGTTCTTCTTCTGCAACGCAGGGAACGTCTACAAGATCTGCGCGTGGATGCAGCTAGCCTCAGGTCAGCAGGTTGATGACCTTTGAAGGAAATTTATAGGAAACGGGATTAATTTTGAATACAGCAAGAAAATAACGATGGCTGATTGTGTCAGTATGATGATGCCATGTAGTGTAATATAAGCTAAAGTCTTGAGTCATTGCAATTGTTGGTCATGTATGTGCATTCAGTGACTTTCTAGTAATCTGGAGTCATATTTTATGGTGTTTTTGTTTCTGGGTTAAGTTGATTTGGTTGGTACTCCTGTTTGTTTTTATTATTTGGACTTTTCCACTGGTTGTCTGTCCTATCCCTGACCATTGTCCGTCTTCATTCATTACTTATTACCTGTTTTGCTGCTTTAGGGATTGACCAGAGACACCTTATGCAATCTTTGCATCAGAGTTGAAAGAAAGTAACACAACCTGGTGGCTTGACATGTCGGCATTGTCCCTTTTTTTTTTTTTTTTTTAAAGAAAATCAATAAAATTAAACTGGATCTGCATGAAGTAAAACGAGGTCACAGAAATATTTTTGGACAGAGAAAGAGGCTTAAAATTAAACGATTCCAGAAAAAAAATTAATCCTTAGGCACTTTGCCACATGCAACTCGTGATACGTTTCTATTTTTTTTTTTAAGTTAAATCTGTTGAAAGATGAACCATTTTTGTCAAATATGAAATCATATTTGATGTCTAATCAGGTGAATCCTGGAGCTTTAAGCTTTTGAACCTTTGCTGCAGTTTATAGTAAAGCTTGGGTGAAGGATGTCGTCTCTCTGATCTTGTTTCAGGTCTTTGCAGCATTTTGTTTCCGTTTCATTTCAGATTCTGTTATGTTTGAGATGCTGTCTGAAACGCCTTCAATTTAGCCTCCATTTATTAAACCTCCTCCCTTGGAAGCACTCATTCCACAGTTGTTCTCTGTCATGTGCCACGACTGGAAAAGAAAATATGAAAAAGCAGTAAAAGCCTGAAAAACGGAGTACTGTCCAGGGTCAAAGGTCACGCTCCCATGCCTCCCCCTACCTGCCCCTGCCTAAACCCTGAGACTCAGCTGTGTGTCTGTGCGACATGATGAAGTCATTGTATCATCTGCCAACATCACACCTCTCTGGTTGCAGGTGTGAAGCGTGTGCTCGTGTGTTGTTGTCCTTCACTGTGGAGGCCGGCTCGGTTTCTGGTGTCAGAACAGACTCCGACACCTCTGAAGGCGGATCTGGTTTCACGTAGCAGGATAAGATGTCGACGAGCCGCAAACTGATCTTAAACCGTAAAACAAGCCAGCTGGAGTTTAAAACGCTGGCAATATTAAACTATAACCTTTTATAATGTGGAAGCTGCATAAAGGAAAAAGAAATGTACAAGAGGACGGGGATGTGGCATTTAGAAATGAATAAAACAGAACCCATATCGCAGATGAAATTATGCACAACAGCGAGAGACTGAAAATTGTTTGCAATGTCTGAATCCCTTCTCCAGCCGTGCTGATGGTGATGGGCTGCATGATCTACCCTGACGGCTGGAACGCAGACGAGGTAAAGAGGATGTGTGGCCAGAGGACCGACAAGTACGCTCTGGGGAACTGCACCGTGCGCTGGGCCTACATCCTGGCCATCATCAGCATTCTGGACGCCGTTCTCCTGGCTCTGCTGTCCTTCACTCTCGGAAACCGGCAGGACAATCTGCTGCCGGATGGCTTCGAGGTGGAGGGAGCAGGTGAGCGCACAGCTGCATTAGAACATTAGAAACAAATGCATTTCATTTAGATTAATTAGTTCGGAGGGTGTTAGTTTACTTGCATAACTCGATCAAGGCAGCAATCTAAAACAAAAAAACAAAAAAACCATGGTTTTACCTTGGCAGGTGATTTTGTTTTCCTCCTCACGAGTTCATTAAAAAATATTAGAGACAATTTAAATGTAGATAATGTTTAAATTTTGCTAATCTGATAAGGACAGGAACATTGAAGAAGGGGTTTTATTAAGCTCTTTACTTTGCTACAAAGCAGTTTATACTTGCTACAAAGAAGGTGAGTTTTATGAGGAAGAACTTTGAAATCTTGTGCAAACATGACATTCATTTAAAAGCTATCGGAGTAAAATTCAACTCCAGATTGAGAAAATGTATAAAACAAAATCCATTTTACAGGGGATGACAGCAAACCTGTTCTGAATCGCACAGTTAAAATAAATTGAATAGAGAAGAAGCCAACAGTCAAAACAAAAGCATCACTGATAATCATGTTTACGTTTACATGTCAGAATGTCAAATTAATGCTGCAAACAGCCGACTGTCCGTCTGAGCTGGTCAGGGCGATTACTGGAGAAGGTGCAGATGGATTGATGAAACAAGCTCAATATTAAATAGTTTTATTGAAGTCCTGAAAAATAATTGTTACACAAGGACAACTTGGACTGTTTGAAAGAAATCTAGGGAGTAAAATGGCTCAATATTCCTGTTTTTTTCCCCCTCAAACTTGCTGCTCAGTTTCTGAGTTCTAGCATGTTTGAAATATTTCATGTTAAAAAAAAAAGTTTCCAATTCACCTTGTACAGATAACTAAAAATACTCTTTCATTACTACTCTTGTTTTTTCTGAGCTGGTTGGAAGCCAGCTGTGTTTTTTTAAATCTACGAGGTTAAACAGCATTTTTTTTTCCTTTTACAGAAAACTCGTGAACATGGATATTCAACATGGAGGGATGACGACCATTCCAGCTGGAGCAAAACCAAGCTGTTCTTTTCCTCTTAGGTTGTAGCGATAGTCTTCTGGTTGTTTAATCTGTCACCAAATAAACACATGTACACAGTTACTCCGTACTGTATGAAGATCTGTTTTTTTTTTTTTTATTGAATGGTGCGTTTTACAGGTTCGTCTTTAAACAACTCACACAAAGTCTATGTTGTTGAATGCGACGCTAATGTAAATTGTACGTTTTTACCTTTAGGTCTCAGCAGATAACATAGCTTATTTTTTGATATGATCGGTTCGCTACACCATCACAAAACACCAGATCTCACAGACTCTATGTTTAAAAACAGGTAAATTATTACTCAACAGATTGCCATACAACCGAGCTCAAACACATCTTCCATACACTTTATTAAAACACAGCTACCCAGCTAAATCATTTTAGCTAAGATATAAGATTTGTTAAAAACTGTACATAACTGTAATATACATAAAGGCAAACTCTTTGGTACAGATATATACAGTTTATTTTCTCTTTTTTTTTCTTCCCCCCTCCATTTAATTGGGCTTTAACATTTTCTCTCACTGAAACCTTTTACCACGCTAAACCTGAATTGTAGTAGGTGTATGAGAATACCAGCCTCCCATGAGAACAATCAATCTCATTTTTTTCTTTTTTATTACATACTTTCCAAATACCAGGTGACATTAGGGTTGTTATGGCTAAATATGACCTACTTAATGACAGTGTCAGAAAGACTCTAGGGAGCCTTAAAAATTATACCACAGTCAGTGTAAATGTCAGCCCAGTGTGCAACTTTCTCAACCTACTTTACAAATACAAACTGCAAGCCCCCAGAGAAAAAGAAGGGAAAAAAAATCATTTTTATAAAAAGTAACACAGAACTAATGAAAATGTAAGCAAAAGTAAGTCCTTTTGAGGGAACAAAGGAAAAAAAAAAAAGGCTACATATCCTTGATTTGTTTGAGTTTTAGTGCAGGAGTGTAACAAACAAGGATGCTTTCACTAGCAGAACGACGAGACTTTTGCTCTTAGTTGGGTGGGTTAAACGGAGCCCAGCAGCTGGAGCCGACATCAAATAATAAATCCACTGGATTCCCGATGTCACGCCGAGAGGAGAACGGACAAAAACAAAAGAGCAAACGTACACAGAAGCAAAAGCCGAACAAGAACATAGGAAATCCAAAATCATGAAACAAAACAAAACAAAACAAAAAAAAAAACAAAAAAAAGAGAAATAAATATTCATTTGATATGCCCAAAGTGGAAAGTGATCTGTTGCAGTCTCTTAAGGAAGTGGGAGGGAGGGGAGGTGCAACGCCGGAACATGCCCACTAGAGGGCGAGCCAGGAGTGGCGTAAGCATTCTGCAGCCGTGGCTCTTTTCTCTGGGACCAGCTCCAGCATGGGAAGTAGGAAGTCGGAGAAACACGCTGCTTCCTCGCGGGGCCACTCGTATTTTTCCACCAGCACCTCCAGCAAACCCCACGGCTTCAGCTTGGTGATGTGTTTCAAATCACCTGCAGACAAACGGCACAGACAACGCTGCATCAGATGGGAGGATGCTAAAACAATAAAAAGAGACAGAGTATTGAAAAAGTCTTGAATGTACTTTGGCATGTTTGACCACAAACCAATTTTATTTAAAGGTTGTGCTTTATTGTATTTATAAGCCCAACAAAATGTAGTACAAGAATGATTCACAAAATATTTTATTAATAAAGGCTGGAATATTGTGGCTTACGACAGAATATTAGGGCAACAGCAGATAAAAGAAAAACCAAGTGTGGTTACGGAGGAGTAAACGTGAGCTCAAAACTCATTTAAGAGAAAACAAAAATATAGAAAATGTAACTTTTAAATTTGCAAGAAAAAAAGTGCAATTTTCCTCAATTAAATGCATAAATTCAAACTAAGATATTCTCTGATATTGTAAAGTCAGACATTTTAAATAAATTTAAAAAAAACCTCAACTTTACTGACTTTAAAAATCAAGAATTTTTAGGGTAGGGTGGAAATTTACTCCTCCTTTATCGTATTATTTTATCTTCTATGAACTTTAAGACTCCATTGCGGTGGGTGCATTCGCACCACCAAATAATTTGACTGGATTTGATGGGAGAACATTTGAAGCTGAACAATGAAAGAAAACCTGCTGGAGGCAACAAAACCCTTGACTGGGGTGGAGGTTCACGTTCCAGCAGGACACGGACCCCAGACATGCAGCAAGAGCTACAATGGATACATAATATAAAACTCGCTTTTCAGATGTTTTCCCCAAATAAGGTTGAAATCCGTGCACTCTTCACAATCGTCACCCAGTTTTGGGTTTGTAATGTGAAAACATCAAAAAGATACAAACATTTTACCAAGAGACTATACTTGTTGTGAATTATCACATATTATATAATATATAACATTAGCAGCTGCAACTTTCTGCTTACCCACTCCAAAAATAATTAGCTTTTTTTTTTTTTAAAGACATGGTAGCAGTTTGAGCGAAAGAACATTTAATAATACAGAAAGAGAAAGGAAGTGAATCTCGACACTTTCTTTTTACCTTTCTTGGTGAAAAAATCCTTGGAATATTTGCCGGTCATTATGAGTTTGCGTGGGACACTCCCCAGCAGCTCAATGATCAGCGCTATGTGGTCTGCACCCCAGTGGGTAGCAGAAAAGGAAGAAGACAAACAACATATTGATCAGAGTGTGTCTCAGTCGGGCCCACCCTGGGTGTGTGGGTGGAGGGTTGAAGGAGCTCGAGTCCCACCGACAGCACATCAGAGTTTACTGATTAAACCAACAGACATTTGAACAGCTCTCCAACATTTCTTTGTTGCTCAAAAAGCAGCCGCAGCATTTTTAAAAATTAAAAAAAAAAAAAAAAAAAAAGAGGCTAATCACACACTAAACTGTTGTCATGGCATCAATCTCATTACTTAAGAGAGGAAGCATCAGGCACCAACATCTGTCCTGGGTAAACTGATCCTCTGAGACCAAAACACTGGTGCAAACGCACCAAACTGTATTTAGTTTCCCTCAGACCATTTTCAGAAATGGTCAAGGACTCAGATTCCTAATTTCTTTCAGGTACCAACCAATAAATTAACAAAGCACAAGGAAGTGAACCAGGATTTCTGCCAGGGGGAAATGACACGAACGGCCAACAGATTAGCTTGTTTTGATTCATTTTTAAATGCAGCTCTTTTTTTCTCTTCTAAACATCTACAGAATAAATGTATGTTTGTTATCATTGTGTTTTGCCATTTAGTTTAATTTATGAAGAGGAACTCAAGATCCCGCACACTTACAACCTCACAACCAGAAGCGAGGCATGAACCTTGGATTTTTTAAGATTTTTGTTCTGGGACATTTTTCTGCTCCAGTTTAGACGTTTGGATGAAAACGATCCCGAGACGACCACCGACTAACCCATCAAGTTCAAACTGCTGCCGGGTTATGCACGAGACAAATCTAACTTAAAATATTTAGAAAATCTATATATATATATTTAACTCCTTGAATTGGTAAAAAAAAAAAAAAAAAAAAAAACAATTTTACAACAATTTGGATTCTTATTCACTTT